GACTCCAAAACTACGAACTCTGACCGAGAAAAGTCAAATAAGATGAACATTTCCGGACCGAGAGAGTAATATATTATAAATATAATACGTTTATTATATTGTTTCGTTAAATAATAAGTTTGTTTTCAAAAATTTCGTTCAAATTTTATTATATGTACATTGTACTTTTATTGGAGTTTCAAGTTTTTGTAGATGAATTTAAAATTATTAACACATATTTAAAATATTATTTATATATTATGTTGTCATTTGTTTACTTTAGTTTGTGAAATATAAATTATGTTTAATAACCATTTCTTGCATTTAATTTTTCATATTACTATATTTAAATATACTTTCGATTTTCAAAAATAAATGATTTGGTGACATTTTAAAGTTTAAATTAAGTGTGTATGTTGTACTCAATGTGTACTGAAACCGATATCGAGCCATCTCGAACCATGCCAAACTGAAATATCAAGAACGAGATCGATACGACGTAAAATCTCATACCGAATAAAAATATTTGATACGATATCCGTACGAGCTAAATATCTTACCATGTCCATTTCTACACCAACTAGTGTACTCCATTTATACACATACAAAAACAAAATGCACGCACAGACACTCAATATTATATATGTGCATGCATAGATATTGAGTGGCTGTGTATCTACTTTTGTCTTGGTGTACAAATGTGGTACACCATATTTGGTGCATCCCTAGCCTTGCCCAATAATCTATAAATAATAAAGTGCCTCATAGACAACACTTTAATTTTAGTTTTAGATTTTTAATAAATTTATATATTGACGTGTAGCTTTATCATTTTTAAATTTAATCTAAGACCGCGACATCATTAAAAATTATACAAAATGATAATGTTAATTAAAAGAGACATCAAAGTACACAAATTGTAAGTGCTATTTAACGACCGCGAATTGTGTTTCCACGCAAATTATACCACACATCTTGCTATACCAACTGATCTTTTATGTGCACATTTTGAGTACTTATAAATAAATAAATACAACTTAATTTTCTATTTTATCATTTTCAAGAATATTTTTATTATTATTTATGACATGTTTGAGAACTTAAATTTGAATTTTAAATCTACATTTGGCTGAAATTCATGTTTGAAAGTCTTAAAATCTTAGATTCAAATTTGAGACGAATTCATCTAATTCATAACAAAACCGAATCAGAAATGCATAGAGCCTTCATTGTCATTTGAAATTCAAAAATTCAAATTTTAGATTTGAAATACAAAATTGAAATGAAATGCTAGTTATTCAAACACTACCATATATAATGAATTTGAAGTTGTATAAAGGTTAAAATGAAAATTATCTTTTAACAACAACATATTCATACTCTACAATATTAAATGTGTATATATCAAACTCATAATATACATACTCAATATATGCAATAAATGATTAAATACACTATTTCTAATTACGTTACATCTTTATTATTCATATGATCAAATTTTATTCACTTCTTTCACTACAAAAAACTGCTAAAATCGCGACAGAAAAATTCTGTCGCCAAAGCTTGATTTCCGTAGGTAATTCGTATAACAACGGAATTAACGACGGTGTTTTTTCTATCGTTAATTTTCCGTTAGCATTAATTTTAACGAGAGTTTTCACAATCACGTGAACTATTGTCGATTAGAGAAGAGACGACCCGACTCTATGGAGAAGTTTTCCCACGTGGAAATGGAGATGGCGGTGGAGATGGAGGAGGGTCGAGGTTTGCAGGGGCTAATTGAGTGCTTTATTAGAATTGAAGAACATTATATTAAACTTAAGACGGAAATTGGAGACGGTTTTAGCGACGAAAATATTCCGTCGCCAGATTTAACGATGGAAATGCCGACTGTTTTAGCAATCTTACCATATAGCGACAGAATTGGTATTCCGTCGCCAATTTGACAGCAACTGGCACAAAAACCTGTAATTTTTCAATTTCACCCAACTACAACATCAACCTGCTCTAAATCATAACACAACATCAAACAACCATCAAATACTAAAAATGAAGAGTATCAAACAATAAAAAATACTCAAATCACCAAGATACAATTAAAATTCAAATAATATTTATGAAATTCGTCAAAAAAAGAAATCTAACTCCACTTACATAACCATAAAACTTAAGTTTAATATAATGTTCTTCAATTCTAATAAAACACTCAACAAGCCCCTGCAAACCCCGACCCTCCTCCATCTCCACCATCATCTCCATTTCCACGTGGGAAAACTCCTCCATAGAGTCGGGTCGTCTCTTCTCTAATCGAAAATAGTTCACGCGCTTGGGAAGCTCTAATTTAATCTAGCTCTTCTCTGAACCTCCTGATCTCATCATCTCGAGGGTCCCACATAGAGCTGGTGCTAGCTCGTCTTGCCTCACTTGCATGCATTCGTGGTAGGCTCCGTGCGAGATCTCCAACACCACGAACACGATTCTTGGCATGCATAAATTCATTCCTCCTATATATAATAAGCACAATATTGATTCACTAAAAGTTTCAAGAATATAATTAAATTTGTTAAAACAAATGACTAAATTTTGTAAACAAATCCTAACCTAAAATAATTATAAATTAAAACTAAATTTGTAATTATAAACAAAATATGATATTTTAAAAACCCTAATGTAAACAATACAATTATAATAAAAAAATTTAATTCACAAATTGAAATTGAATAAGAGATGAATACATGAAAAAAAATTGAGAGTTGACGGCAACGATGACCAGACAGCAAGGAGGACCGGCGGTTGATGGTGGCGGAGGGAGACGACGAGCAGACGGTGCGGTGGAGGATACTCGATGACGATTTGGACAGCAAGACCTAAGACTCCTTTGTTTCTATCTGCAAATCGGTGAAACTGACGAAGAAGGGGTACAGATCTGGTTTATAGCGACGGAAGTTAACGACGGAACAATTCCGTCGCCAGCTCAAAACACGTTGTTTCAATTAAATTCCGTCGGTAATTCCGTCGTCTAAAATTCCGCGCACTACCAATACGGAGCGACAGATCTTTCTTTCCGTCGTTAATTTTGGTAGGCGTATTAGTCCGTCGCTAAATCCGTCGCCGTTAGCGTCGAACTGAATTCTGTCGCTATAAACCGTCGCTTTTTGGCGTTTTCTTGTTGTGTTTCCTTAATTTAGTTACTTATATGATAAAAGAATAAAATCATGTCACTTCTAGTTTTGTAGATTTTTTATGTACTTTTTAATATGTGAATTTTCCTTTTTAATTTCACTTTAATTGTCAAGGAAATTATATTGAAAATAATGTTAGTCAAATATTTTAAAATGAAATCCGCGGTTTAAGGTTCTGTTCGTTTGAGTTGTAAAAAGAGAATTTGATGTTGGAAGAAACTGGAAGAAGTTGAAAGAAACGAGAAGAAGTTGGAAGAAACTCAATCATAGATCATTTTGACATCATTAAAATGAAATTTTAACAACAATTTCAAGGTTTATGATTCTTGGTTCTTGAAACATGTCAAACACAAAAATCAACCAAACGACCGTTTATGAACGTAGAAACGATCTATAAGAACATTCTAGTTACTATATATAACTACGGGCTTACCCCGAGCTTAAATGGGGGTTTTGAGAATTTTCTAGCAAAACTTCCAGCAAACACTACGGCTTGCTCTGGCGACATGAAGCTCTCTAGACAACACTACTTTGCTTTCTATACTCGCAGCTCTCTAATGGAGGAAAAATAGTGAAGAATGGTCAAGAATTAGTCTCCCTTATATAGTGAAGGTGAAGAAGAAGAAGACATTTGCTGAGTTGCTGCAGCATAGGATTCCAATTCACGATCTTCATTCAGCGAAAGTGCGATTTTAGGCGATTCAGTACGCTACTTCCTGATTGAGACAAATTTGGTTTTAGTCGGGGTACACTTTTTGGTCCAACTTTCTTTGAATTGAAATCTGTTTGCACCGTTACGGGGTAAACTCTATCCAACAATATAATTTTTATATTTATTTGTAATACTTTTTTCGACATCATATTTTTGGGGGTTTGTCTTTGACAGAGTCAAAATTGATTTAATTAACCTTTATCCTAAAAGGTTCTCACATTTAATTCATATTATTTATTCTCATGTTTTTTTTCAATAAATCATTTTCAAAGTTCACATTATTAAAAAATTCTTTATTTATTATTAATTTGGGTTTGTACTGTGGTTCTCAATCAAGATCACACAAATAGTCAACATATTAGATTTATCTCTGTGAGATTTATCCAGATTGTGATATTGGATATCAAAACACTTCATTTCGGTCCAAAGCCTAACAATAATTTATTTTAATCAAAACAATAACAACAATTTAATAATAATTTTAGGGTGTATTTTGAGGCATTACATAAATATGTAAGCAAACTAATTTTTGATAAAAAAATCTTCTTTGACCTCATTTGAGATTGTATGTTATAAATTTGAATGTATGATAATATTGTATACTCATCGTATGTACACACTTTTTTAGTCATTGTTGGAAGAAACTCGAAAGCGTTCAAGTATTAGAAAAAATTAGAAGAAATGGAAAAAACAAAAAAGAATTTGAAAAATTAAAAATTAACTTTTCTAACTCAAACGAAGGGACCCTAAATTGGATTGTGGGAGTAAATGTAACTTAGGCAGCGTTCCATTCAACTTATTTTATTACTTATTATTAATAAAATCAGATCAGACCAGACTAGAGTAGATCAGATCAAATTAGATCACATCAAATCAGATTCAATCAAATATATATATATACACACACACACACACCCACACGGATGTCACAGAGTACTCAATATTGGAAATAAGTACACACCAATTGAGAGAAGAGTGATGATTTCAATTTTGGGTTCAAAGCTTCAAACTCAGCGACGGGTTTGGGAAAGGAGTGCGAGGGGAAAAAGAAAACTTAATTGAGTAGAGAAAGGAGTGTGAATTTACAATTTTATCCACGTTCTTAACGAAAATGTTAACAAAGGACCATTCGTGAAAATGAATCTAATAATTAGTGACTAAATTAATAATATTTGATATCTAGGAATGAAGTACTTACTACTAGGGACGGACCTTTTATATATTTAACCAAGCATTTTTCTTGGTGCGCTCCCTTCTTTCTTCAATTCTTGACTTTCAGGATTTTTGAGCAAAGAATGGATCTTCCGGGAGCTATACACTCCAGTTGCACCGGAAACGTACGAGTTATGGCGTTGAAAAGCTCGATTCTTAAGAAATCCAATGTTTCTAGGTACCTGAAAAACATGGCCTTAGCCCCTTGTTTACTTCCCGGCTCATCATCAAGGTTGGAGAATTTGGGTCATTTCCTCATCAAATTGCCCAAAGGCGGTAACTTTTCGCCATCTGGGCTCTCGACATCGTTTGTGGTCAGGGCTAAGGGGAAGAAAAAATCAGGGAATTCTGATCCGGACTTCTCTTCTTCTGGTATGCTTAAATTCTTCTTCATTTTCTTAAAATACTGGCTGTAAATTTTGAGGCTTTGAGCCCTATTGTTCAATTTCGAATTTTGATTTGTGATAATCAAATATGGATACTTTTACTTAAAACTTAGAATGTTAATGATTTGATTTCCCTTTATATGGACACCTTATTTCGTCTCTACTTTCAAGTAGGGGTACTGTGTGGGATTATATTAGATTTGTTGTTGCTGTTGTTGTAATTGTTGTTGCTTATGGATACCTTATTTTGTGTAATAGTAGAAGAACATTTTGCCTTTATCTTGGATTAGTGAAAATTCACATTGTCTTACGGCTATGAATGTTGTATTCCAGGCGACTGTCTAGATGCCTGCCGTTCTAGAATGAGGTGAGTTCATGCATTAAATATACAAGAGGTGAGGTAATGGATGGCCTCTATGATTGGTGAGAGGAAGCTTCACCTTGAGCTCTAAACAGGGAGCTCATTTGTGAGTTTCTATTCTCCCAAAAATTGCAGATTCCCAGGAGAGGAGATAAGTCCCTAGAGAGTGGATATTGGATTAGTTATTCCACTTAGAGATTGTGAAAATTTTGAGATTTTTTTAAAATTTTACTAGATTAATATAGATTTTCTATTGCATTGTGTCCTAATATCTCTGCCTATGTAACTATGTTACCTAGCCGGTCCCAAGCCCAGATAAAAGAGGAGGCCGGAGAGTTGTGATAGCTCTTGGCAACCAACGTAAAGCTTTGTCGAATCTTCATGACATGGATGAAATATGATATTGCGCTAAAGCTAGGTCGTTGCCCGGAAAAACGCGATGTATGGCTTGACTACAATGTCAAATGAGCTACGACCGCTGCATCGGTGCTCGGGTGTAGTGCAAAATAAGCAAGGGTTCCCTCATTTTGGTAAGCGGACGTAGGTAAATAAGCTAGTTCCCAAAGGTAAAGGTAAATGTCTAGAAAGTTTACGATTTGGGACATGTAACATAGTTTGATACAAAGAAGGATTAATATTATGAGCTTGCAAAAACTAAGTGGGTGGGAGCAAAGGCTAAGGAGTTGGACACTTCAGGCTTCATGCTATGGTATACATGCTATGGTATACAGGAAAGGTGAAGAACAAAAATGGAGTTGGTATTATTGTAGATAAACGATAGAAGAAGGATGTGATCGATACCATTAAGAGATAAGGTTTTCTTGGGAAGAGATTTAAATGAACATGTGGGAAAGGATGGAAGTGGGTATTAACAAATCCATGGAGGGCATGGCTTTGGAGTAGCGAATCAGAAGGTAAAACCATCTTAGACTTCTCTTCGAGCTTATTATCGCATCCACTTATTTTTATTTCTGCTAAGGAAATCAAATCGAAAACTTTGCATTAATTGCAAATTTTTTCTGGGAGAGAGTTTGACCACCCAACATAGAATGCTCGTTAGGGATTTTCGTATCTAACGAAAGGTAAGAGGAAGTCGCCAAGAGAGGAATCCAAGGACTAAATGATGACAGTTGAAAGGTGATAAACAAAGGTATTTCCAACGCCGTTTAATAGAAGAAGCAAAATAGGATGGATATGGATGTGCGGAAGAGTTATGGTGTGATATGGCAGACTATTAGAAAGGTGGCAAAAGAAACCCTTGGAGAAACTAAAGGCACTAATGCAAGAGAGAGAATCATGGTGGTGGGACACTAGTGTGCAAGAAAAGGTAAAGTGGGAACATTTTAAGGAGTGGTCTTTATGCAGTAATGTGGAAAATTGAGAAAGGTATAAGACGGCTAAGACGGAGACAAAAGTAGCTGTAAGTGAAATACAAATGAGAGCATATGAAGGGTTTTACTGGTCGTTGGGTACGAAAGAAGAGGTAAGATGTATTTACAAGCTTGCAGAGGATCGAGAAAGAAGGATGTAGGATTTGGACCAAGTTAAGTGCATTTAAGATAAACATGGTGAAGTTGTGGTCTGTGATGATAGCATAAACTAGCGGTGCAAAAGGTACTTCAATGATCTGTTTAGTGAGGAGCATGCAAATCTCTCATGCTCCGATCGGCTACACACGAGGGAGGATGACCAAAACATCAATTATTATTGGAGAATTTGAGAAATTGAAGGTAAGGAGGCCCAAAAACGGATGAAGAATAGCAGAGCAGTGAGCTAGACAACATGTTGATTGGAGTTTAGAAAGGTTTAGAAAGAAAATGCATTTGGTGGCTAACTAAGTTTTTTAACAAGATTCTAAGATCTAAGAAGATGCCTAACAAATGGAGGAAGAGCATTTTGGTCTCTATTTATAAGAATAAGGGGGATATTCAGAGTGGTGGTCAAGCTCATGAGCCATACAATGAAGTTGTGGGAAGGAATGGTTGAACAAAGGTTGGGACAAGAGACCTCAGTGTTAGAGAACCAATTTGGTTTTATACCAGAAAGATTAACTACAAAGGTTTTATACTTGGTGAGGAGAATGATGGAGAGGTATCAGATTGAGCACAAGGATTTACACATGGCTTTTATGGATTTGGAAAAGGCATATGACAGGGTACCAATATAAGTATTGCAGACGGTTTTAGAGATAAAAGGAGTAAGGATTGCGTATATTCGTGCGGTTAAGGACATGTATGATGGTGCTGCAACGAGTATGAGAAGTCATAGTGGGGTTAAGGGGAATTTTCCATCAGTGTAGGATTACACCAAGGGTCATGCTCACATCTTTTTACACTAGTATTGGACGCTCAAAACGTATCTAAGAACACGTACCATGGTGCATGCTTTTTGCCGATGACATCATCCTTATCGGCAAATCACGAGAGGATTTGAACGGGGAGTTGGATTCGTGAAGACAAGCTTTGGAGTTGCATGGCTTGCGTATAAGTCGCACTAAAATAGAAAATATGGAGTGCAAGTTTGACAACGGAAGGAGAAATAGTAACATCGAGGTGAAAGTAAGAGAAAATACTATACCATAAGTAAAGAGATAAATATCTTCGGTGTATCATTCAAGACAATGGAGAAATAAAGGATGACATTAACCATAAGATTCAAGCCGGTTGGTCAAAATGGTAGAGTGCTCCGGGCTTTATTGCCTTTATATGTGATAAAAAAGTACCTTTAAAGCTAAAGAGAAACTTTTACCGTACTGCAATTAGACCAACTATATTGTATGGAACAAAGTGTTGGGCAGCAAAGGGTGAATATGAACACAAGGTTAGTGTGGGGGAAATAAAGATGCTTTGTTGGATGAGCGGTCATTTGTGTATCGATAGAATAAGGAATGAAGTTATGAGAGCTATTGTTGAAGTGGCACCTATTGTTGAAAAGATGGTGGAAACTCGTCTTAGGTGGTTTGAACAAGTGGAGAGAAAACCAATAGAGCATCCAGTGAAAAGGGAGACCTTCGCGTGAATGATGTCACATGCCTCACAGTAGATTTGATACATGATAGGGCGCAATGGCGTTGTTTGATCCATGTAACCGACCCCACGTAGTGGGATAAGGCTTTGTTGTTGTTGTTGTTGCCTTTATATCTATTTCAGTATTGAGTTTTTTTCCCAAAAATTAATTGCCTCTTAATCTGCAAATCTTTAGCACTAGTGACGATTTTAATATCTTATACACTTAAATATATCTGTAAATTTACAGGCAGTTAATTGTTGGAAAAAACACTCAACAACAGTGACCACATAAGTGGAGGATATATATGACTATTATCACTATGTTTGGTTCAAGGAATTTCGAAGGAAAATAAAAGAAAATGATTTTCTCTCCTTTTCCACACCAAAATGAGAAGAATTTGGTTTTCCCTCCTCTTAGTATATTTTGCCTTCTCATTTTCTTTTCTTTCCACTTTTCTATTCTTTTCCTCTCTAACCAAACAAGAAAACATATTTTCAACTTCATTTTCTTATCTTTTCCCTTTCAAATTCCTTGAACCAAACATAGTGTATGAGTTCATTGATGATAATTATGATATACAATAGACCTTATGGCACTCCATTTTGTGGTACTCTAATGGATAGATTGAGTTTGTTGCAGAGATGTGCCATTTTGAAAAAAAGTCTATTATTTATCCAAATCCGTATCATTGCCAACATTGATTCTTTTAGCTCCGAGCAATGGACGTAACTGTTCCTGTGATTAAAATAAGAAAATACTCCCCCCGTCCCACTAGATTCTTGACAATGGTTGACGATGCTCGACTGATGGTTTTTCAATTCAATTTATTTCAAAATTGGTGTAAAAAATAAAAATAAAATTTATATATACTTATTTACTAGTTACTACATCAAAAGATCTACGAAATAAGAGGTGGCATGACTATATTATTTTATCAAATGATAGATGAAAATATGTAAAGGAAGAGGAAATAGTTTTACTGTGTGAAGAGTAACCGTAAAGAACCAAGTCGAGCGGATGGAGTAGTTAATTTTAGCTTTAAGGGTTAAATCTATGATTTGATATAGAATAGAACCTTTAAGTTCTATTCTCATTCATTAGTGTTTGTGCAGTAGAAAACCAGTGTATTGCAATTTTTAGTGGTTATAGCCTCTCACCAAGTACAATGCTCTTCAAATGAAGGGAATGGTGACAATTCATTTGCAGAAGATGATAGTTCTATAGAAAGTAATCGCTTTTCTGAAAGCAACACCAAAAGTAATGGTGGCCAGAATACCAACTCTGTTGACTGGAGAGACTTCAGAGCTTCTCTTTATATCCAGGAGCAGGTATCATCTCCTTTCATACAGCATTTATTTGGATGTTATGACTTGTCAGTTTTTCATGTCTCCAAACCACGTGTTCAATAAACGAGAGTTCTTGGTGTCAACTCTATTCGATTTTATAAGGTATCCATGCTCGATTCTCTTGGGCTGTTTTCTTATGCATTGCATGTTTGGCCAAAAATACAATGCAACGCCTTAAGGGATAAATTATGCAACTGGTGCAAACAGCTTTGTTTACTTAATGGAATAATTATATCCAACCCTTAAAAGGAAAAAAAAACTTTTTCATTTTTATACTTTGGAACTGATTCCTTTCCCAGAATTGCTTGTGTAGTACTTTCAACTATACTTTACTCTCCACTGCTTGAAGCTAACTAATGAAAGTTACATCTGTTCTGTTTTCTATGAAGAACTGAGAGTGCCAATCGAAAGACATTTTTTGTTGAACACATGTTCTTCTGGTGTTAACCCTCATGTCCTTGAATTGAAGCCTTGCTTGAAAAACAAGCCATCAAATTTGTATTGTTTTTCCGTCATCCCTTGAAAATTATGGATGTACCAAATTCTGTTATCATTTGCTAAATTATGGATGTATCAAATTCTGAGGTAAAGGTAAGCTACACACAGATCTTATCTATTCCAACCCTACTTCTGAATGCATATATTGTGTATGTCACGTCTCTCTCCCCCCATCCCATTCCACGCCACCGAGTTGCAGGTGTTTCCATTGGTAGTAAGGAATAAGATCAGAATAGCTACCTGTTGTTGGTAATGAATAATCATTTCATTTAAATTAAACATTTATATTAGGAAAAACATAAACTCCATAATTTTCTAATAAAAGTGGAGTTCTTTTTCTATTTTCTACAACAGGTGCTTGTTCCTCCACATCAAATGATATGTCTTGCTGACGCCTAACAGCTTTGTTCTCTCCATCCTGGCTGTCGGCTCTATTGTTTCATCCTCACATCAAAATACACTTGTGTCATTTTGATGAAGTATCAACAGTTGGGCCATCAGGAGAATGCAATATTGTTTAAATTTTTTCATTTTAACATAGGAAAAATATATAGAACTGTGTGGTATACACATAGTTATTAATGACGAGTGGGGAGGGGCGGGCGAGAGGACCTTTTTTATGGCGAGAGGCGGGCGGTCAAATGGCGAACATGCATGCATACATACATACATATACATATACACACGCACACACACACATATGTATGTATGTATAAACACATAATATTGATACTATATATGTATGTATGTATATGTATATGTATATGTATATGTATATGTATATGTATATGTATATGTATATGTATATGTATATGTATATGTATATGTATATGTATATGTATATGTATATGTATATGTATATATGTGTATATATATGTATATGTATATGTATGTGTGTGTGTGTGTGTGTGTGTGTGTGTGTGTGTGTGTATTATGGAGTAATATATACGAATAAATATTATGCATTGTATACCCTAAAGCCTTAAGGCAGTGATTGAGGCGAGAAAGGCGACCGCCTTAGGCGCGCCTTAGGGATCTCGCCTCGCCTGGCTTCCTTGAGGCGCCGAGAGCTCGCCTGGTCGCCTGAGGCGCCATAGGCGAGAGAGGCGAGCGCCTTTAATAACTATGGGTATACATATCTGATGATAAAGTTGCATGTCGTTTCTCTTAATATGTCCAAATCTTGAATATCAGGCTGCAGTTTCTGTCTCTGACCCCCACAAGTATGATGAAACTGCATTTGGCTTTAAACCTCTACCTCGAAAGTGGGCACACCCAATTGCAGCTCCTGAGAATGGTTGCATCCTTGTTTCAACTGAAAAGCTTGATAGGGTTCGCAGCTTTGAGAGAACAGTGGTTCTTCTACTGAGAACTGGAACCAACCGTCCTCAAGAAGGTCCCTTTGGACTGGTCATAAACCGCCCACTCAGAAAAAAGATTAAACACGTGAAATCCACCAATCTTGACCTGGCAACGACCTTTTCTGAGTGCTCCTTGCATTTTGGTGGGCCCCTTGATGCAAGTATGTTTTTGCTAAGAGCAGAAGGAAAGTCCCTTGCTCACGGTTTTCAAGAGGTCATTCCCGGCATTTCTTTTGGTTCTCGAAAAAACATGGAAGAGGCATCTGCATTAGTGAAGAAAGGGGAACTGAAACCTCAAGATTTTAGATTCTTCTTTGGGTATGCTGGGTGGCAGCTGGACCAATTGACTGAAGAGCTTGAATCGGATTATTGGTATGTTGCTGCATGCAGTGCAAATTTGATTTTTGGGGGATCTCCATTGGAGAGTTTGTGGGAAGAAATCTTGCAGTTGATGGGAGGCCATTACTCTGAGGTAAGTCGCAAGCCTAAGAAAGACTTTTGATTGCTCCAAATCTCATGCCTAGTGGCCTTAGACTTGTGCCGTTGCTGATAATCAAGTGCTTCGTTTTGAGGCGCAATGTACATAATGTTCATGTTTCTTTTTTTCTAAATAAGCCATTTATTTAAAAGTTGAGAATATCATTCTCTTTAATGTTTTTCACATGTTCTCTGACTATCACTTGATGAACCAGATCTGTATGACTAAAATGTGTATAGATAGACCTGATGTTGCTTTGATGAAAGGTTGCCAATTGCTGTTCTTACTAGACTGTTGGCTGTGATCTAGTGAATAATTTTTAGGGTAAGGCTGGGTTGCATGAGCTGCTTTATGTGAACTGAGCATAAAAAAATGATATTTTTGCAACCATTCACTTTCATTTAGTTAACATTCATTTTCCAGGCCATGTTTGACCACTGAAATGAGGAATTTTTTTACACTGTATACACAATGTGGGACTGTTGGGGTACCAAGTAGTTGGCAGTGTTGTCCTGTCCACCAGTTTCTATACAAACTTTGACAAGTTTCTTCTATTGGTATGGTAAGAGACTAAGAGCAATGCTATTTTGACATCATTAATGCACAGAATAAGTCTTTTGTGCGTGTGTGTGGTGTCAAAGTAGCACAATTTTCATTATGGTAATCCAAACAATGTCAACCACACCAGTTTTAACTGCTACCTGAGACACTGCTGCGATGATACTTAATCAATCGTAGTAGCTGTTCCTTTTTGTCTTTGCTTTGCGGACTGCCTCTTGAATTTGTCTCTCGTGTTCCCTTAGCATATCTTCCATGCTCCCCCCAGGAGGCACCAGTGGCCCAGAGCAAAGAATCCTACTTCTCCTCGCCACATAAACCTGAAAATCCATGGACAACAGATTATATATATTATAGTAATAATAAAATACAGCTCAAGAAACCATTTCCAACAATTCAAAAGAAATCATACACTGGCAGTATCCTCCTGGTCAGATGATCTTTCATCTCTCGAAGTACTTAACAACACATTAACATGCCGCCTCTTTTGAGAATCGTCTCTTACCATCTCTAGACTGTGTTCGTGGACAGTTTGACCTCCACCATCATCCTTTACTCTGTGACCCCCTCTAGCGTTTGGGTGAACAACCGAATTAGAATGAACGATGGTGTTCCTATATTTTGCCTCACTGTCCAACAATGGGTTGTATTTCACGCTAGTGCTTTTATTTGACCTCTCCTGCAGATTCTCTCTTGTGAGTCATAGTCGTGGGTGGCTAACAGTAAAAGCTAAGAAAGAAAAGGTTAAACTAATGAAAACTTCTTTCTAACACGATTTCAACTATAAACACAAAATATACCCGCTGTTCCTGCTGGGCATTGTATCCTGTTCGCTGTCCATATGATTCTTCTCTTGGGTTCTCTAAATATTCACCTCTACGTCCTTTCACGCTTTCAGCCTTTCGTCTGCATATTCCATTAATAGCATCTTTCTGAGTTGTTTGATATGCTTCCCTATCGATTAACGAATAATAAGAACGAAAGAAACTTAGCATACCTTCTTTCATCATCTTGAACCTTTGTGTCAAGCTTCTTCTTACTCAGTGCATGTTTGGGTAAACTTGATGATGGATCACATGGCAGGGGATTTGTTGTGAAGAACTGGAGATTGAAGAAAAAAAATATCATTATGAACCAGCTGATTAGGACATTAGGCAGGACTTTGGAATTTCTATGAGCAGATGACAATGGAAAAGTTATTAAATACCTCACTGTTTAGTGAGGAAGCGGCAGTTCCACGCTTCTCCGGTTCCACTGAGAGTAGGGTATCAACAAGAGCTAAAGCCGAAGCAGGGAAGTCCTTGAAGGTATCAACCACACATCGCCTGTACGGCTGCTGTGGTTTAAAACTAGTGGCATGAGGCAATTTCGTTTTCCTCCAGTATTCCTCAGATGGCGACCCACAAAGCTTGAAGATTTTATGCATTTGCTCCACCTGATTTTTTAAAAATAAGCATTGCATTTACATTGGCAATTGACAAAAGGGTTGGATGACTTGAGAGAGTGGAAGAAGAAGAAGAAGAAGAAATGTGACCTCTGTTCTTCCAGGCATGATAGGCTTCCCAGCGAATAACTCTGCAAGAATGCAACCCACACTCCACATATCAATGGCCACTCCGTAATCTGTCGCACCTAGCAAAAGCTCAGGGGCTCTATACCACAGAGTTGCAACGCGGCTTGTCAGGGGCTGTTTCCTGTCAGGGTGGAAGGTTGTGGCCAATCCCAGGTCTCCAATCCTCAGAATGCCATTACTGTTAATGAGAAGATTTGAACCCTTGATGTCTCTGTGAAGGACACCGCGACTATGGCAGTGGTCCAATCCCAAAAGCAGTTGTTGCGCATAACATTTGATCTGTGGTTCGGTGAAGTTGACCCCTGGCAACCCTTCAAGCCCAGCAAGGTCGTGCTCCATGTATTCGAAAACCAGGTATATGCTATCTGATATCCTCGATGTCACGACAGCCTCAAGCTTTATGACATTGGGGTGGTCCAATCTGCGCAAGATGCATATTTCCCTTGCCATGAAACGAACACTCTCCGCGTCCATATTTACAAACCTTACCTTCTTCATCGCCACAATTTTATTGCTCTTTAGGTCACGCGCCTTGTAGACACTGCTATATGTCCCTTGCCCAATCTGCAACATCAGTTTGCTGTTTAAAAACGATGGCTTTTATTAAATACCCACAAACCTAAGATTGATCATTTTTTAACAAAATGTTTTAATCAGGATGAGATCATGATCCTTTCAAGAATTAAGAAGGATGCTTTTATGGTAAAGTCAGGGTCAAGTTCTATAATCATTGTCTGTGGGTTCTTCATCAACTCAAGAATCTGGGTTGTCATAACTACAAAAAGAAAAAAAGAGTAATTGAACTGACTTTGCATATGATCTCAAATGACTCGACACTTCGAGGAAGCCACCCCTGAATGGCCTCAGCAGCAACTGAACTCAGCCAGGTTGGCCATCCAGCAGCAGATTGTTCTCCCCTCACACCATGTGGCATGCTCGCTATCCGGGATATGGAAGTCGACCCCCCACTAATCCCGAAATCCACAGTAGATCGCCTCCGGTGGCCATCTTTTGGCCTCTCAATGATTCTCGTCTTCCCATCATTTTCAACTTTTGGGACAACAGGAACAGCTGTGTTTCTTTCAGGTTCTCGCTTCTGGATCGAATGTTCAGATCCTTCTTTTGCTGTCTTGTTACTGAAATCCAATTTAAACTCCTCCCCGCACGAGGGAGCAACTGTCTGCACACAAAAATTTGTCAACTCTTTTTTTACCTTCTTTGCATCATCGCTTTCATCTGTGATATAATGATTCGCTTCTGACCCCTTAGAGCAAATGCTGCCCATATCGCGTTGTGAACCGATGAGCTCCGAATATATGCATAATCACCCTTCGTAAATCATTCAAATCGCAATGTGTATTTCTGGTAACTCACACAGCTTAAAAATCTCTCCTCAAACTCTGATCACTCAACCCTCATTTTTCAGCACATTAAGGCCAGAATCCCTCTCAATTTTCACACAAATAAATGTGTGGAATATTCTTAAAAAAAAGAGATGATATATATCAACTCTGTAAAATTAAAAATACCCAACAAGTCAATGAATGAAATGACTCGAAAAAAATGATCAAACAGAGAAATTATCAAGAATTCTAAAGAATGTAGGCCCCAAAAGATTATAACTCGAAAAACCCAGACCAGAAACTCTGCATGCATCAAAATTACATATGATATAATGTTTCCTGCATTTATGAAACAGAAAAAAATTATGTATGCGTTCCTATAGAGTTGTTTTCTGGATTGATGCAGGAGCTTTGGTCAAGGTGGCGAGGGTTACAAATGTGGGGACAAAAAAAGGATTTTACTTTCTTGAGAATCTAACTGCTCGATTAAAATAAAAATGGAAAAAAGGAAATTTTCTATTGACAATCTGCAGGTCTATTTTGTTAGAAATCGAAAAGAAAATCCCAAACCAAAAAAAAAAGAGAAAAAAGAAAAAAATGGAGCTAGAAAGCTATGTTTATTCAAGATTACTGGTCAACATTCCTCCAACGAGGTCAGGAAGAGAATAGAATAGAGATGATTTCGGCCCCTCGAATTGTTCCCCGCCTTTACCGTCATATTTTGTCAGGGCTTTTAAAAGCTTCTTACATTTCAATTGACTTAGAATGGATAGAGCTAGGAGATGATCACTCTATTTACTCCCGAATTCTTCAAAAATTTAGACGAGCGTGTGATTAACCCACTCTCATATCTGGCATAGAGGGATCGTTGATGCAACGTTTTTAAAGACTCAAGGATCATTGGTACAATTTTAAAGTTTGGAGGAATCCGTGCAATTTCTGAAGTGTTTGAAGATATATGGCGCAAAAAAGACTCTAGTTGAAATTATTTCAAATTATTTCTAGAGTTGAAAAGACTCTAGTTGAAATTATTTCTAAAGTTTGGAGGAATCCGTACAATTTTAGAAATGCTAGTTGCCAAACACTATCTAATAAATTTCAAATAAATTGTTTTATTTTACCTAATAGAAGACTTGGATTGGTTGGGGTAAATTCTTTTTTTTTTCAATTCAATTTTTTTTTAATTTTAAAATTTGAAACTAAGTTTTGTAAAGTATAACCATATTCTCTTGTTAGAGATTTGTGTCATAGATTTGCAAAATTATATTGCATGTTCATTGTATTGTTTTCACAATTTCCGTAATGTCATTTCGAGAAAAAGTTGTACTCCATCCGTTTGGAAAAAACCTTCCCACTTTGACTATAAGGCAAAATAAAGAAGTGTAAAATTATAATTGACTTCCAATTTTGCCCCAGATGTGATGGGTAAAAGTAAGATGTGATGGATTTATTATTAGGGAAAAAGTATGATGTGATAGGTAGGATATGAAAAAGTAAAGGTAAAAGTGGTTTTTTAATAGAAAGGGGAAGTATTTTGTTGAAAGTGAAAAAAATGAAAGAGGAAGTGTTTTTGAGAACAGAGGGAGTAGTAGATTGTTGGAAAATCAATTTGCATATATAATTTTGATGTAAGTCATTGCTTGAAAAATGACATCTCTCACTTAAATTTTCGAACAAAATACTTCAAAACTATGTTTTATTATTATTATTACTCCCTCCGTTTGGAAAAACCCTTCCTATTTGATTTGGGGGCAAAAATAAGAAAGTGTTAAATTATAGTTGATTTCCAATTTTGCCCCTGATGTGATGGGTAAAAGTAAGATGTGATGGATAGATTATTAGAGAAAAAAGTATGAT